TTGCCGACCAATATATATATATATATATATATATATATATATACATATAAATTAAGTCAATTAATGGTAGTTATAAAATTTTATGAAAAAGTAGTCAACCTGCTTTTACCCTTCTTCTTTTATGCATTCATTAAAACATATTTTTCTCTTTTAAGATAAAAAAGTTAGGAGAACTTGGTATGCTTGCTGTATATACACCTGAAAAATATGGAGGTGCTGGTTTAGATTATTTAGCCTATGCAATAGCTATGGAAGAAGTATCTAGAGGCTGTGCATCTTGTGGTGGGATCATGAGTACCAATAATGTAAGTATTCACATTTATTGTGGTTTTAAGTATTATTTTGAAAAATTGTTGAATTTGGTGTTAGTGTGCACTAAGAAGTCTTCCATGAAGGCCAGTTCGTCCCCATTCTTGATCCAGAAGTTCATTTGTTTTCTTGGTTCGGTTCAGTATTCCAAGGCTACGGAGTAGAACAATGATATTCGTAAACCTAGAATTGGGTCGGCTGTTCAACACCAGTTATAAAATAAAATAGAACCAGTTTCTCAAATTAAATATTCAATGAGCCGAAAGTACATAGTTTGGTATAGATTGTCTATATAAAAATAAGGAAAAAAATAGAAAAATATGGAGGTGCTGGTTTAGATTTTAGCTTATGCAATAGCTATGAAAGAAGTATCTAGAGGCTATGCATCTTGTGGTGTGATCCTGAGTGGCATCATTAATGTAAATGTTCACATTTATTGTGGTTTTAAATATTGTCTTGCAATATTTTTGAATTTGGTTTTAATTTGCACCAAAAAGTCATCCACAAAGTATAGTTTGTTGATTCAGATGTTCCCGTGTCTTCTGGGTTAGGTTCAGCATTCCAAGATTGCGGAGTAGAACAGAATTGGGTTGAGTGCTCCACACCAGTCATAAAATAAAATGATATTTCCAAATGAAATATTCATTGTGACAAAAATATATAGTTAAGTATAGTCTGTCTATATAAAACTTCTGGCAGCCAAGTCTAAAGCCATTTGCTGCTAAGGAAACAAGAAATAGCTTATTTGAAGGAGAGGGGAAACTACATTGAATTTTATTTCCTATTTCCGTCTTCCCTTTCGCGACGGAAAGCGCGAAAGTGCACTTACCGCTGAGGCAGCCAGTCTCTCTCGCGTGTGGGCCAGATGGTTTTTTGCTGTTAAGCCTAATTTCATGAAATTACCGAAATATCAACGCGTTGTTTAATATTGTTCTGTAGAGTATTTAACATATGCTTTATATATATTTCTATGGATACTTTATTTACTTAAGTTATTTCTTGCACAAATATATATTTTACACATTTTATTTTCATTATGTACTTATCATTTAATAACATTCAACATTACATATCTGAAAACTAAATATATGACTTAAAGTTCATCTTTCTTATGAAAAATTCTAAAACAGGGGTCTACAAGACCTTACTATTCACTAAAAACTAAACCGAAAATCGAAAGCAGCGAGAAAAAAAACCCTCCCCTGCTTACTGTAAACAAATACCACGTGCGAATTTAAAGAGCCGTCATAAGACATTCCTTTCCCCACCATTCCTTCCCCCTAAAAACCACGCGAATGTACTCTCATCTGGAGTAGAAGATCAAATCTACTTGTATCTGAAACCATATGGAGATACAACGCCATCTTGTGGAAGAAATTTAGTTTTTTAAAACGTTCCGAAACGCTGGCACAAATGAGTGACGGCCGGAAAGTGAGCGCGTTTCTTGCTGGCACTTATATGTGACAGTCGGCGCGAAAGGGTTAAGAGTGATGACCACTCAAAACGCAATCTATGGGATATTTAAGGGTGATATTTCAGCTATTTCATTTACTATAGCATTATTTGTTATAAGTATGCAAAGTTGTTCTTTATTTCTTTAAGTTTTTCCATCTATTAAAACTAGTATACTTAGTCTAATATAGATCATTCAACAGCGCAGTGATTGCGTCTTTCCTCTTAATATATTGTGCATAATATGTATGGGGAAAACACAGGGAATTTTCTTTTCCAGATTTGAGTGCTAACCCTGAAATAAGACTTATATGTTACTGTGTAGGAATCCATTAGAATTGTAATGGCAAAATTCATTTAGAAATAGCCAACTATTATCAGATGTAATCTTTTGTTTAAAATTTGTGTACTTTTATTGTGTTGTATTATATTTTTCTAATTCATTTTATTTAGTCCTTGTATCTTGGTGGTCTTCTGAAATTTGGAAATGAAGATCAAATAAAAAAATATGCTACACCCTTTACAAATGGAGACAGAGTTGGCTGCTTTGCTTTAAGTGAACCAGGTAAACATATGTTTACATGTTTGAGATCCTAAAAGGAATTTTCATTTTCCAAGCATTGATTAATGTAATCTGTGAACCTATATGAAAAGAGACTACCCTGTAGTGTATAGTGTATGTAGTGTTCTTAAAAGTGAATATTAAACTGTTTGCATCCATTTATAGCGCAGAAATAAAATTCAATTTTAAACTGAAAAAGTAAATTCTGTCTATCCTAATGTATAAGTCAATTTCTTATTTTGTTTTATAAAATAGCAAATTTTTAGTATCACGGGCGTATAAAAGATGATGGCGGGGGAAAAAATGAAAATTTCGATTTTGTTGAAACTTTTTTTAAAATTTGGGAATTTAATTCTTTTAATAGAATGAAGGAATAGTTTTTGTGAAACTCAGTAGATTAAGCAGAATCCATTGCAGAATAAAATCTGTGTAACGACGCTGCAAATTGCTAATAAATCCGTCATTTTACATTTTTAAATTTGTTGTTTTATGGTACGTTTTGAAAGGTTTTATTATGTTATATTTTTGAAATACTCTTGAATAAATTCTTATTCTTAATTTCTTTTTCCGAATGTAAGTTAAAGTATTGCTTCTAAAAAAGAACCTTTGCACGTAACGAAGATATGATGAGAGAAAATACAAAATCAATTGTTTATAACATATTCAAAATACTTTTTAACGTGCTAAACTGATACAGAATTATTTATATAAACTTCATTGTTTATAAGAAGTAGATATTTCATGATCAAAAAATCTCCAAGTTCATTACTGGTGTATAAAGTCGACCCCTTGGTTTTCATGAAATTTTGTTTTCTGAAAAATCAACTTATATGCTAGGATCTACAGTATTTCTGTTATTATTACTAATAATTTTAAATTTTCAAACCATATTAATCAGTGGTATTAAAAAATTGATATTAAACTTATAAGTTTTATAGGTAATGGTAGTGATGCAGGTGCTGCATCAACAACAGCTAGATTGGATGGAGATTCTTGGATTTTGAATGGAACTAAAGCCTGGATAACAAATGGTTATGAGGCTGAAGCAGCTCTAGTTAGTATCTTTTTTGCCATAGGCTTATCATCGGAAATTAATATTTTTTTCATTGATAATATTCAGATAATACAAGAAGAACATGACATATAAAATCATAAGTTGTAAGAAACTTCTAGGGTAGCCAGGACACATTATCAGATTAAAATTGCAAAGAAACCTATGTCTGAAAATGCGTCTTTTGTAGATATTATGAACTATTTCTTCATGTTCTTGTATCTAGATCATAATAGGAAAGTGACGACTATGACGACCATATAGGGCATGGGTTTCTATGTAATTGTAATTCTGAGGATGTACCCTGTCTTCCCTAGAAGTTTTTCTTAATATTTATGTGTCCCTTTTTATCTATACCGTTTTTAAACTTGTAAATTTTGACAAGAAATGGACTAAAAATTGCCGTTTTTTAAAAAAATTTAGCCTTAGGGCAAAACTAATTTCAGATTTAAAATTCCCTTGCCCCAACTAGGCAATACAAAATATTTGCATAAACGCAACAAAAAATTTATTTGTCCCCTCCCCTCGTGTTATTTGTATAAATAACACGGGGGGAGGGGACAGTAGTATTTTAGTATTTTTTTATTTATAAAAAAATACTAAAAGCTTATTTCTTTTTAATGACACTAATTTAATCCACATTTATATGAATTTGCTTTGTTTCAAAGTCAATTAGTAAATTTTAGTAATAAGTTTCAAACTCTACTTCTTAGTATGCTTTTATTCATACTAAAATTTATGTATGAAATTCTTATTTCGTTAAACTTGTTAATTTTTAAGAAGGTTAAAAAAAACTTTTTACGTCACATGTTTTTTTCTAGTTTAAGTGTCTTATTCATATTTCTCTCTTTTTAAAAATTTATTATTCTTAATGGCATCTGACAAAGATGGTGCAAGTTTTAATAATATGCAATAAATTGTAGCTGTCGAAATTCAATTTATATTAGCAGTATTCAGTTTACTACATTTTTGATGTAATAAAATATTGTTATGTTACATCTTTTTTTTCTATTTCTTTAATGTTTTAAAACTAATATTTTTTACTTTAAGAATCTGCTTAGCACTCTTCACATATTTTTGCATTAATACCTGACACTCAGGCTTTAGGTCACGGGAAGTTGTGACCTCCCAAACATTTGCACTATTCGGCAAATATTTTTTGGCCATTTGGTATATTTACGAAAAATCATTTTCTCTTATTTTATTTGGTAAACACAAATGAAGCTATGCAGACCGCATTTTACTTTGTTTAAATTTCTTATTCATTTGGAATAAACTAATTGTAATTCTCCGAGAATTGGGGAGTAATAAAGAGCAGAAGGAGTAGCCTTTAATGTAATTAAAATAAAATATTTAAAAAAATATATTAGGAGATAAAAAAGTTTCCTTATGATGGTAAAAGAAATTATTTAGTACTTAGCACCAATGGAAATTACATTAAATTGGTAAGATAATTTTACAAAATCTCTTTGATACTAAGCGAAAAAAAGTGAAATCTTATTCAAACTGCGAATTATCAATAAAATTTTAAAATGATCATTTTTATTTCATCTGCTTACATACTGGTTTTATTTCATTTATTGAATTATTAATTATTATGCATATTAAATGAAAAATTAGGCATAAAGTCGCGTTTTCTATATTAGTATCTATTTTATTATTTTTCACTTTTTAAATTTAGCAAATAAAAATAGATATCCTGGTTGGTGTATCGTTGCGCCTATGTCCAAAAGGTTGTGAGTTCAGTCCTCGCTGGCAGGAGACTCCCTTCTTACTAAATGGTGACTATAACTATATAGTGCACACTAACTCTGTCATGGTCAGAAAGTCCTCCAAGTTCCCGTAACAAATCAATACCACTGTTGGTACAGGATTAGAGATTGATCGTGCTCTGGTTCAGGTCGAATTTACGACCTGCGGATAGATGGCGTATGAATGCGTTTTGAATTTTAAGCCATAGATGACTTCACTGGAAAACAACAAGAAGCTAACCGTAACCCCTCTGCCTTTGAACAGGCTTGTCAGTATTTGGAAGCGTCATGAAACAACAACAAATAAGTATATTTTAAATAAGTTCAACAAACTTTTTACTTATAATAATTTTTTTTTAATTTCTAGCTACTGCAACTATATTTTCATTTTAAACCAAGATTCTCAGAATATTTCTAGTGGGTATTCTTGAGATTTGATTGCTAAATTATTTGTTAATCGATTCGTGGAATAGCTTAAAATAATGTCTACATTTCAGCTGTTCGCGCGCAGGTCGTCGGGCTACCGAAGCGAGGGTGCCATCCCCTCCGCAGAGGATCAAAATTGTGATGGCATGTCTTCGGATCATCCTCCGGGATGTTTCCCAGACCGTCGCCAACAGCCCATTGTGCAGCTCTAGTGCGACGTAAATTAACAACAACATTTCAGCTGAAAATAAATGTCTTTCCTTTTTTTCTTTTACATTTCTTTATCAAATGGTTCATTATTTGTTGAATAGAATTAAAGTAAAACATTCCTGAAACAGCCCTTTATGTGCCACAAAGTGGCAATTGCTGACTATGGCAATGTGGTCAGCATTGCTCACAGCAATTGTCAGCAGCCTTTACTTCCCAGACAAGCTTACCTATCGATCTGAAGCTGGGGAAGGCTTCAAGCCAGCAGTGAGAATCGTACCCTTATTCTTGACAAGAGTTTAATACTTTACCCATTGACCACTAGCAGCTCATCAACTATAGAATTATCAAGTATAGAATCAATGAATCAGTAATTTATTGATGAAAAAAATTAACATATTGCGAAAATATTAGCAACAAAAGAATTTTCTTATTGATTCTCATGCAACAAAAGAATTTTTTCTTGATGCGATTATACACTTATAAATGATTCCGTCAAATTCGAAATTTCTTTCGTCAAAGCGAGAATTTCCCCTCCTCCTTCTTTATTAAACACTTAACTTTACTGCGCCTTTGCTGACACCAGTTACACACCTTAAGGTGTGTTTAAGATGTGCTGCGTATGTTTTTAATAGAATAGGTAAGGGGAAAGAAAATGATATTCTTTACATTTGCATACGAAGCGCATCCAGAAAGTAAGTTTCCTTATTTTTTTTTAAAAAAAATAGAACTCATACTTTCAGGAACATGTTTATTGGCAACAAGTACAGCAATGTTTCAGCCATTTTTCAACATAGCCGCCACCAGAATTGAGACACTTGTCGTATCGTGGGATCAACTTTTGTATCCCTCTGTCGTAGAACTCTGCCGTCTGTAAATGGAACCAGCGTGAGACAGACGTCTTCAGCTCTTCGTCGTTACCGAAACGCTCACCAGAGGACAGGAAATTTTTGAGGTGCAAGAAAACATGAAAATTGCTGGGAGCAAGATCAGCGCTGTAGGGTGGATGATCAAACAACTCCGAGTCAAAATTTGTCAAAACAGCTGCTGTGCGTCGAGCTGTCTGTGGACGAGCATTGTCATGGAGGAGCACAACACCTGCAGTAAGCATTCCTCACCTCTTGTTTTGAATGGCACGTCGCAATTTCCGCAGTGTTTCACAGTAACGCTCAGTGTTTACTGTTTCAC